CAGGGTGAACACTGGGGATGCTCAGAGCCCTCTTCTCCTTGCAGAGGGATTTGCCACTGAATTGCTGGGTCTGACTTCCACCCTGCCACGGTGCCCGAGCTGAAGGGGCAGAGGGTGCACTGGACATGCCCTGTGTGACCAGGTCCTTGCCAGCTCTGCCAGTCCCACCCACACTCCGCTTCCCACTGCTGCAGCCAGAGCCTCTGTCCCTCTGTACCCCTCRGGATAAACCCTCTGCAAAGCCCTGAACCACCACAGGAGAGGAAAAGACAGAAAGGTCTCTCCCACCAGCCCGGTCCTTCCTGGTCAGGTGACTCTCGGCCACTGTGACCCATTGCCAGCCCCTGGTGGCCCAGAACTTGCCCTGGCTCCCTGCTCTGCCAGGCTCCAGGGGTGCCTGGACCATGCAAAGAGACACWGGGGGCTGCTTGCCCTCCACTCCCCAGCAGGGCAGAGCCAAAGTCACCACCAGCTTGACTCCCTGTGCTGTTTGGAGGCCAAGGGGAATGGGGAGGAATCATCTCATGGGGGTCCCCAACATCCCACTGTGCCAGCCTGGAGAAAATGGTTACACACAGGATGGGATCTGTGAAGGCTTTTGAGGTGGAGGTGATTAATGCAGGTTAAAGAAAAGGGGTCACCTRAATTTAATAAGGGACACCAGGAACTCCCAGTATGAAGTCCCTCAATCCCTCTGGGAGCAGAGCGAGAGGAGCTCGCTGTGTGGGAGGATCTTGTTTCCCTGGCTGTGATGAGGGTGGAGGGGACCCGTTTGCTATTTCAGCAAGCACTGCCCTGCAAATGCCTCCCTGACCACCACGGAGGTGATAAAGGCCCAGGTTTGTCTGGAAGGAAGATTTTCATTGGAAGTTTTTGGCAGGCACTGCTCTCAGAGTTCCTGGTCAACTCCTTGTCTGAGGTGAAGTTTCCTTTCCGCTGAATGAGAAACATGCTCGGAAATTGCTCTGACATGAGACACATCCCAGCCTGGGAACCCTTCGGCAGCAGAGCTGAGCCTGTCCAACACCAGGCTCCCCMTGCGGCCGGTGCCAAATCCCCTATCTGGGAACACAATGTATTTCCTTTCTCTGCCTGCACTCACTCCTGGGTTTGTTAAACGCTCTCCAGGCCTTGCAGAGGGCCAAAATCTGAGCRGCGCCCAGCACCTGCAGCCACCGCTGATGTCAGGCACACGTGCAGGTGCCGGGAGCATCTCCTGCTCCACGGGGAAAGGGCTGTGGAGATCCAGAGCTTGCTTTGGGAGCGGGGTCTGGAGTTCTCCAAGCGTCTCTTTGTCGGATGTAACTCAGGTTCATCTGGCACTGCTTTATCCAGGGCCAAGGTGAAGGTGTCTCATGCAAACTAAAGGGAAGGTGCTTGTTCAGGTTCACTCCCAGTCCTCTAAACAACACCACAATTCCTGAAAAATTGTGGAACGGTGTCCATTGTATTTTAACGATGTTGTTAAATCTGGTTGAAGACCCTGCCTGCACTTCCCTGTGTCCACACACACTCACCAGCAGCTGAGCTCTGACAGCGTTTCAGTTCAGACCTTTTCCAGCTGCAATCTCCTCTCCCAGGGGAGCTGGAAGCTGCATCAGGACAAACTGGGYTGGAGACGGGGGCTTGGGCTGGAGCAGTGCTGAGCACACAGAGCCAGCCCAAGGCACTGGGGAGAGGCAGGATGGAGAACAGACCTCCAAGCTCGTCTCCACGCTGTGTCCTCCCCAGAGCACTCCTGCTCACAGGCGCCTGGCCAAAGCCAAGGCTGAGCTCTGCGTGGATGAGTTATTTGCCAGGTAAAGCTGGTGGGAACCTGAAGCTGTGAAAAGCTCTGCAGGAGCAGATCCCYGCAGAACATCTCCTTGGGGCAAGCCCTGTCCTCTCCATGTACGGGGCTGGGATCTCGCAAGGGAGCAATAAAGAAAAATTCGATCTGGCTGGCAAAAACCGTTCCCGTGGGAAATTTTGACTTTCTGTCAGAAATTCCAGAGCATTTATTTTTCAKCCCCAAATAAGCATGAATAGGAACAAAGATTCAGTTTTGGCAGGGGGAATGGGTTTACCAAAGAGAACACCCAAATTTTCAAGCAAAGCAGACACATTCTGTAATTTTGCTCCTTGGATGACAAGAAAAAGAAAAATAAAACCCCAACGATTTTCCAGAAAGCAAACAAGTAAATTTACTAAAAAAAAAAAAAATAAAATAAAATTGCAAACATTTTTTCCTACCGCTACTTGATACAAATTTGGCTGATTTGGCTAATTCACTTTTCGCTCCCAGGGCTGCTCAGGATGTTCTGGCCGCCCTGCTTTGCAGCGCTGGAAGGAGCCTCCAGCGGGCAGCGGCAGCACCAGCAGCACCTCCCCGCTCGTCCCCGGCCCCTGCCCGGCGCAGGCGGCTCCGCAGCCCSCGCTGACCTGCGGCCTGACTTTCTCTCGGGATTTGGGAGAGAAACCGGGSTGGGCCGGTGGTCACGAGCGAGTGGGTGGGAGTTTAATGGGGTTATTGTGAWCTTTATCTGGGGGGATTATTCCGGGCGGTGCGGGCTTGGCAGGGCAGCGCGGGGTTTTGGCCGTGGCTGGTGCTGCAGGCTGATAGGTGCGGCCCCGGGGAAGGCGCAGCAAGATCGGGCTGCAGAAAATTGTTTTACGGGAGCTCTATCCTTGCAAAACATCCACTTCCCAGCAAAGCCGGCGGAAAAGGAAAAAACAGAGCGATTTTCGTTTGCGGAAGTCTGACGCGGCTAGGACTGCACACGGTCTGAAATGCAAAGCCTGGCATAAAAGTGACATATTTTACTGGAAACTGGGAATTTGTTTCCCTTTTATTGGAAATAAATTGGAAGGGAGAAGGATGGTAAGAGCACGGTGCCAGCACAATAACTGAACAGAAGCRTGTTCGGGAGCATTTGTGGACCCTGCAGAGGAGACCGGGGGTTCAATGGCACCTCGAGATCGCACCGAAATTTACGGCATCGCTGACAGCGGTGACTTTGCAGGCAGGGAGCTGGTCCTGYCGGACCCCTCCTGCCCCCCCACCCCTCCCCCCGGCCTCTCTGCTGGGCAAGRAACAACGCTGGCAAATAAGCGAGACGCGGAGCACCGAGCGCTGCCGGGCAGCGAGACCCGCGGACCGGGGRGGAAAAGCAAACCCGGAGAGAAGCTCGGCAGCCGGGCAGCACCCGCCGCTCTACCCCGGGACGAGGCATCTCCCGGCGGGAGCCGCAGCCCGGGGGAGGGGCGGCTGCGCAGCGGGGCCGAGCATCGCCCCGAGACTGCCGRGACCCCGCGACCGCCCCCGGAGCCGCCACCGCGTGTGTCCCGGTGCCACCGGGCCGCGGGAGCGGGCCCCTCTCCCCGCCAGATAACTCGGCTTGGCCGTGCCTCTCTGGTGAAGACGACGCCGGCGAAGAAATTGCTCTCTCTGCAAGGGACACATCTGATTGTGATTTGGGAGGGAAAAAAATAAAAAGGAAAAGAAGGGAAAGAAAACAAAAAAGAAAAGAAAAGAAAAAAAAAATAAAGAAAAAAAAAAAAAAAAGGCGGCCAACTCCGGCCGCTCGGCGAGGGTTTTTTCCGATCTCGGAGCTGAAAATATTTTGGAAGACGAGGCCGTGTTTTCGGTAAACAAGCGGCGGCGGGTGGCGCGGCCGGGGCTGCGCTCCGCGGAGCCGGAGGGTCCCGGCGCGGTGGAGCCGGGCTCAGTACGGGGCATCCCAGCCCCCGGGGCCGGGTCCTCACGGGCACAGGGCTGAGCACTGGCCCCCGAAACGGCGAAGAGAGGAGCGGCAGCACGCGAGGATCCCGCCGGGAAGCGGGGGTGGAAAATCGGAGAGAACATTCGGCGGGGTGTGTGGGGACTCAGGGGAGGTGTTCCCCAAACCGTTAACCCTTCTCCACTCCAGACAGAGGCGAGGGACACTCCGTCCCCGCCTGGGGACAGCCAGGATGGCGCGTTTTCGTGGSTCGAGATGGAACGAACCGGCTGCTGCCCGCTACTCATCCGGCCCTGGGGCCCCATCGAGTCCCCGCCGCCGCCGCCCAGCGCCGCCCGCACCCCCTGAGGATGCAGGGTCTGGAACCGCAGGCTTTGCCGGGCTTCCCTCTCCTGTTCCCGGCCGCCTTCCCCCTCCGGGGAGGGCCAGAGCCCATCCCCGTCCCGTCCCGGCTCGGAGCCCGGGGAAGAGCGGGGCTGCCGGGATCCCCGGACCGAAGCGGGGCCGTGCTCTGCGGGCCCCCGGCCGGGACCTGCCCGGGACGGGAGACACCACCCGGCCAGTCAGGGCCCCTCCATGCTCTTCCGGACATGAACGGCGTTTTCCCGGTCTCCCGAATGCCCCTTGCTTCCTCTCCTGAGGTTCTTGGTTTTTCGTACTTCGCATTTCTGAGCTTCCCCTTGCTCTGCCTATCGGAGTCCCCCGGTAACCCCGTCCTGCTCCGCCGGGTGTCCCGGTGTCCCCTGTGTCGTCCCGGGTGCCTCGGTGTTCCCCGTCCCACGCCTCCGCCTCTCGGTATTCCCTTCCCCAAATTCCTGTGCCCTGCCCGGCGGTCCCAGGTTCCCCGTGCCCGCTGCTTTACACCTGGAGATCCCTCCGTGTTGTCACCAGTGCATTCCCGGGTACCTCGGTGTCCCCTGCCTTGAGCTGCCGGGAGCCTCGGTGTCCCATCCCCTGCGCTCCCGAGTGCCTTCACATCCCTGCTCCGCGCTTCGGGACCCCTCGGTGTCCCGTCCTTCGCCCTACGCTCCCCGGTACCTCAGTGTCCTCCTCCCGTCCCGTTCTCCATCTCYCTGCGCGTCCCTGAACAGTTCCCCGTGTCCCTGGATGTCCCCGCGCTGCTCGGCGTGTCCCTGAATGTCCCCGTGCCTTTCGCTGCCCGTCCCCCGCGGCTCCTCCGCTCTGCCCTCCCTCTGCCTGCCCCTCCGGGGACTTCCGYGCCCTGTCCCCGTCCTTCTCTCCGCCTGTGCCGGAGCGTCCGCGCCCGCGGCCGGGACTCACCCACGCACTCGTTGGCCTCGCGGGCCGTCGCTCGCTGCCAGGGCCGGTCGTAGTGGAAGGGCTTGCAGCGGTCGCACTCGGGGCCGGCCGTGTTGTGCTTGCAGTCGCACACCAAGCTGTCGTCGCGGTCCCGGACGCAGCGCGACGCGTGCCCGTTGCACTTGCAGCGCCCGCCGACCTGCAAGTCGGACACGGCGTAGAAGTAGGAATCGCGGGCTAGCTCGGAGTCATCCTCGCTCTCGTCGCCGAAGGTGTGCAGGCGGCTGAAGGTCACCCTGATGTCGGTGGCCGTCACCCAGTCCTGCAGCACGGGCGAGTTGTCGAAGTCGTGGGCGGTGGGGCGGCCGTCCAGGGTGCTGAAGGCGATGAGGCCGCCGGAGAGGGGCCGCACGTCGGTGTGCGAGTCGGTGCACACCGCCTCCTGCTCGTTCTGCTTCGTGATGGCGGCGCGGCTCGGCTTGTTGTACATCTTGCGGCACTGCGTGGAGTAGAACTGGAAAGGCACCCAGGTCTTGCCGTAGTCCATGGACTTGTGGATGGCCATGGACTCGGGGCGCGGCGAGCAGAACTGCAGGCTGACGTAGGTCACCTCGAATTTCTTGCCGAGGGAAAGGGTGAGGGTGACGTTGTGGGGATACTGGACGTAGCTGTCGGACTGCCAGCAGGTCAGGTTGTGCGGGTTGTTGAGGTCGGTGAGGAAGGAGGGCGGGTGGGCGCGCTTGGGGTCGGAGGCGTTGCAGAGGTGGCAGGTGCGGACCTGCTCCTCGCCCTTCTCCGTCACCACGCAGTACCGCGACGGCGGCTTCCCGCAGGTGCTGGACACCTTCACCTCCTTGCCGAAGGCCGAGTTGACGAAGTCGGGGATGCAGCGGCGGGGCAGCCCGTGCTCGTCGTAGCAGGGGTCGGGCTGGGCGGTCTGCACGGCGAACATGCTCACGCCGTGGTAGCCGCCGCGCAGGGGCTGCGCTAGCCACGCCGCCGCCAGCAGCAGGGCCAGCGGCGCCTCCGCTCCCCTCGGCGGCATCCTGCGCGACCTCCGCGCAGCGTGGGGACGGCAGGGATGGGGACACGGGGCACACCGGGGAGCCGCCGCTCGACCGCGCCGCTCCGCGCGGCACCTTGGCCGGGGGACGCGGTGCGGCGGCTCAGGGAGCCCGGAGCATCGCCCGCCCCGCGGCCAGCCCCGCGGAGAAAGGGGAGACCGCGACGGCGGCGGCACCACAAAAGTGGGGCTGGCGGCGGGGCTGGGTCCGCCTGCCTCCCGCCCCGGCCCTCGCACGGAGAATGACTGGCGGTCCCAGCCCCCGCCGCGTTTGAGGTCATGCTAAAGGAGTGACATCGCGCTCAAGGAACAGAACAACGACATCCACTGGCGGCTCAGCCAGAGACGCGCACAGGCCTCGGGGAGGGCGGGGGGGCTGGGGGGGATGGGAGTGGGACGGAGCCCGCCTCGATACCGCAGTGATGGGCGCCAGCTCCGCCGCGGGGCTCCCGAGCCACCCCGAGGAACCGCGGAAGGGCCCTTCTCCTYCYCCCCGCYCCTCYGCGCCCCCGACGGGGCTGGGGGAGMCGGGCCCCCCCYTGCCCCCAGCAGCTGGGGATACTCCGTGGGCGTGGGAAGGGCGGAAGCTGCCGGGAGGAGCCCCCCGCCCACCTGTGAGGACGCCGAGAGGGACAGGGTGGGAACGTCTCCCATCCGGCCTCCCCTTTCCACCAGACAGGGACTGGTCCCCGCAGCTGGATCCCAGTGGGGTCCCGCAGCCTTCTCCCCTGGGACACAAAACCCGCTGCCGGGGAAGTTTAACGGGGGGAAATCACGACACGCGAACTACTGGGTCTGGGCAGGTTGTTTTAGGGGACTGATGCCGGTGAAGAGGGGCGGCCTCCCCACCACAGCCCTGGGACGGACCAGGCACAAAGGGGCTGCGCGGCGCCTSTTGCCGCCCCCCACCTCCCACCGCAGCTTGCTCTCCGTTAAAGCGAGGAAGGGGTTAAAGTGCGGCACTTGTCCCAGCCCCGGTGTCCCCTTCCCACCCACCCAGCGGACCCCCGGTGCCGAGGRACCGCCCCCGACGGCCGCTGCCCTCCGGGTCCACTCCGGCACCGCTCTTCCCGCAGTGATCCCGGCCGGGGACACAGCCCGGGGGGACGGCACTGAGACCCCGGAGAGACGGTCCCGGGAGGGAGCGGAGAGTTTCCCTCCCTCGGCTCCCGGCCGCCCTGCTCGCCCCCTTCCCTCCCTCTTTGATTAAAAGGGCACTTTTATTTTTCCAACGAAGGTGCCCTCTCTCGGAGCGCTGCCCACGCCGTGTCACTCAAGCGGCCGGGCCCTGGCACGGCTGCACGGTCCCCTCCCCGGAGAGCCTCGGCGGTGCGGCCCGAGGGGACGGGGCTGCCGGGCAGCRGCGAGCCCCAGGCCGGCCTCCGCCCCCTCCCCTCCGCCCGCCCCTCTCCCCGCTTTGAATTCCTTGCCACCGAGCTGAATAAAAGTGGTTGTTGTAAATTGAATTAGTGCCTGATTAATCTGCTCCCGGGCCTGCTAGCCCAGCGGGGCGTCTTTGGCAATGCAACCGCCTTCCCTGCAGGGCAGCGGGGCTCCGCAGCCTCCCTGCCCCCATCGCTCCACCCGGACCCCCCCCAGCCGCCCCCCAGCCCCTTCACTCCCGGGATTTGTTAACTCTTCCCCGGGAAACAGCCCCTCCGTGCCGGTCCCGGAGCCCTCSAGGCTCCTTCGCCGGGGGAAGAGCRGGGTGTGTGTATGGGGTTGTGGCCGGCCCGGGACTGGGGAGTCCAGTCCCGCTGGTCCCACCCGAGCCACCCAGAGCCTCAGCCGCGGCCCGGCACACCGGGACACACACCCGGGATACCCCAGCCCCGGAGAAAATTTTATCCCCGCTGCTCAGTTGTGGCCCGGTTTCCAGAATTTCGATGGGGGGTGCATCCTCCAGTCCGGCTCTGGGAGGACACCTCAAGGAGGGAGAGGGACAATTTACACTGAACTGTCCCGGGCCGTGGGGGCCAGACCCGGAGGGGGACTGCGGAAGGCCCCGGGACATCCCTGCGCAGTTCGGGCTCTCCCCAGCGCGGCGGCCGCAGCCCCGGCCGGGCCCGGCAGCTGCTGTGCGGACAACGGGGATGGCAATTCCCAGCCGGGAGCGCCAAGCTCGGGCCCACAGACCCCTCCAGGTGCCTGCTATGARCATCTCCTCTCGTTGTTTCTGATCCCCCTCTTCACTCGCTTGGTTCTTTTCCTTCGGCCACGCGTGTCCGGGACCAACTCTCGCTGTGGGTTCCCGTTCCCCTGTGGTCGGGCCGTGCCGGGGCGGCGGAGGGACGGGGGACGGCTCCGGTGCCCGGGGAGGACACTCGGGGCGGGCTCGGGGCGCAGCAGGTGCCGAGGCGAGGACCCCTCGTTTCTCCGGGGAAAGATGSGAGTTTGGCTCCGGTTGCTCCCGACGCCCCTGGATCCTCTCGCCGGCCCGACGGGGACCCCGGGAATGCCCCCGTGCGCAGGTCAAGGTTGAAATTTCAGCGTTTCTTCCGAATCTCGGAGGGGTTTTAAAGGTCACCCGCGGTCCCTCAGAGCCCGCACGATCCTTTACTGCCTCACAGCAAAAATTGGGGTGATTTTAAGAAAACCTTGTCCCCACGGAACTCCCCCGCAAAGCCGAGGTGCTGCCAAATCCCATTAGCAGGGTGCTAATTTAACAACTTCCCGGCACTGCCGGGCGCGGGGCTCCGCGCTGCCCGCCGGCGTTCCCGGGGCTGCGGCTCTCGCCTCCCTCCTGCCCTTCTCGCTGGGTTTGTTCGGTGTTTCACAACCCCCGGGGTTTGTAATGACTCTTGCGGTCATTAACGTGATTTACTGAGGCTTTCTCCTCTAATTACCTCGCCCTCGAGCTATTAAATGCATGTAAGCAGCTCCGCGGGGTCTGGGGCGCAGCTCGCCGGGCCGGGGCAGGGGCCTGAGGCTGTCCCGGGAGGATGGAACGGGGGGATGCTCGGGGACCAGGCCGTGCCTTCCACGGATCGCCCCCCTCTTCGGATTTGATTTTTCTATCGTGAAACACCAGCCAGCCCCGGCCCTGTTCTGGCTCGGGTGGGGATGGATTCTTGCCCGGGCCAGCGCCGGTGAGACGCCGAAGCAACTCCGATACCTGCACCGGGAGCAGAGCAACTGCGGGATCTCTGATACTGCGCTGGGAACGGAGAATCTCGGGTGCCTGCACTGAGAACGAAACACCACTGGGACCACACGAGAGCATCGCCGGTACCTGCACCGGGAACGGGGCACCGCTGGGGCCACACCGGGAACGGGGCACCGCTGGGGCCACACCGGGAACGGGGCACCGCTGGGACCACACCGGGAACGGGGCACCGCTGGGACCACACCGGGAACGGGGCACCGCTGGGACCACACCGGGAACGGGGCACCGCTGGGACCACACCGGGAACGGGGCACCGCTGGGGCCACACCGGAGCATCTCCGGCCCTCCGGGTGCCTGCCCGGGAGCGCGGCCGGCCCACGTGCGGAACGAGGGGCTGAGCGGCGGCGGGGCACGGCAGGGCCGAGCCGGGGCAGAGCGGAGCGTCCCCATTCCCCGCGTTTGGGCCGGGAGAAGCCGCGGGGACATAGAGCCGGGAAAGGCTTTATTTCAGCCGCACCGGGGGCAGCGGGAAAGGCGGCCCCGGCGCTCGGAGCCTGTTTTAAAAGTCAAATRGCTTCGGGTGCCGGAGCTCGTCCTCCTCCCCGGGAACAATGCGCTGCTCCTCGCCCACCTCCCCCTGCACCGCCCGGGTTTGGGGAAGGGAGGGGGAAAACCCGAGCGGCTCTTCTCCTCCTCGGCTCTCGGGGGGCCGTTCTCCGGCGGGACCGGGAACGGCTGGAAAAGCGGAGAAGACCCGGGTTGAAATAATCAGGAGCGATTTATTCCCCTGGAGTGACAGTTCTTTTGAGCAGTTGCCGAATGGCAGTTTCTGTCTTTCTGAAAGCTTTTCTTCCAGATTCTGTTCAGATTAGGCTGGGGAGATGAATGAGCCCATTATCCAGCCCAGTAGCTATTCTGAAATGCCAAATTAATTACCAAGGGCTAAATCAAGGCGATGGGGGCTGGAGGGGAGAGGGGGGCGGCGGTTTGAGGTGTGAAAATATCTCCGCGATCTTTTAAACGCGGGCGCGGCGGGCGGCCCGGGGTGCTCCCTTCAAACCCCCCAAACTTCGCTCCTCAAGAGCGGGGGCAGCGGCGGCCGGAGCCGGGCGGAGAGAGCGAGGAGACGCCGCAGGTCCCGCTCCGATGCCTCTTCCCCAGCTCCGGCACCATCCCTTCGCCGCTGCCGCATCTCTCACCTCCGGCAGGGCCGCCGGGCACCGCGGGGCTCCGGGCGGGRCTGAACCGGGGCCGCAGCCGCAGCCGGGGCCGCTTGTGCGGCTCATGGGTCCGGGCTCTCCCCACCATCTCCCCGCTCTCGGGCACCTGCGCGCCGCTCCCGGGGCGCACCGAGGGTCAGCCCCGCTCCCCCAAACCCGTTTGCAGCGGTTCATCGGCAGCTGAGCCACCGCGGAGCGAGCCCGGGACATTCCGAATTTCCTCAGCTCCGAAGGGCCGGCTCGGRGATGAGAGAAGGGTCAGCGGCTCGCTGCTTTGCGATGAGAGRGGGAAGGGGGAGGGCGAGGCAGTGTGCGGCGATGCTGATCCGTAACTTGGTTCGCATTGCCCGGCTTGGAGGGTCATGGAAACACSGCGGAGAAAGGGGAGGAAGATTGATCCCAGGGCAATGAGGGAAGAAGGCACCGCTGGGTCTTCCCGGACCGATGTCTCTCTGCCAGCACAGATCACGACATTTGCACATGACATTTAATCCTCCACCCCAGAGCTCTTTGGCTCCCGGCAGGCAGTTATTGTTATTATTGTCGCTCTAATATTTACGCTTTGCTCCCAAACAAGTGTAATTTCCCCGATCGCTTTGTAGCTCCTTGGCCCCTAACCCAGTTTTCCCTTCAGTTCCCGRGAGACCACACCTCTGGCTCCTCTCATTCATGAGAAAGAAAAAAAAAAAAGAACGAATTTTGCATAAAAAAATAGTGAATGGCGGGTCAAGCCTGACTATCATTATGGGATGGGGGAGAGGGRACGTGGGGCTGATGCTGGATCTTTTGCAAATGCTCGCGATCAGTGAGGGACATCCCGGCTCACCCCGGGCAGCAGCGAGAGCAGAGYTTTTCCTCGCACTAGACAGTCCTTGCAAACGAGGAATAAGCAACGAGA